ATATATATATATATATATATATATATATATATATATATATATATATATATATATATATTCTACTTTAAATCCTGAATTATCTGAGTCCAGCCTGCACATGGGTTCCACGAAACACAAGAAACGCAACAAAGGATGCCCAATCAAAGCTTTGCCCAGCTTCAGCTGTCACACAGACAGATTCACAATTGATTCAAATGTAGTGTTTAGGTAAATCAACAATTATGCACGTAATGTAACACCACTAAGCATCATGCCTCACTATCATACTTAACAAATATGTTATTAAATTGGAAACGTTGTTTGGTTGTTGCTAAACGAGGCATCATAGATTACGGTCACAGTTTTCTGCATTCATTTTACTTTTGGGCAAAGAAAACTGTTCCACACGCCTTAAAGTTTGTTCAGAGGTAAATATGGAAATCTAGTTTAAAGATTTAAAACAATATTTCCTGGTGACCCTCCAAAAAAGCCACTCAAATCTGTTCATTTTTATTTGTACTGAAATAAATTAGACCATATAAAGTGATAAACGATCGTGAGATGATCCTCTTGGATCTTGTATTTGAGCAACATCAACTGTTCTCAATGTTTCCAGTTTTACATTATTTTTATCTCAAACTGGGATACATGACTGAGTTTAAAACCCTTTCAGTTTTATTAGATTACTAGTGCCTGGCTACTAATGTAGTTTGGATGTATTTGGCTTTTCACACAGCCAAGACTTTTTGACTTGATAACTGTAAAAACACTGACACTAAGTAATTTTCCATGTGTTGTTTGATCTATTTTAAAAGCATAACGAAGTGTGGATATTTAATATGTGTATGATGCTGTTTATGGCATCGTTTTATTTTCATAAAGTTGAGCTGGAAATTACTCTTGAGTGCACCTTAAACAGATTTTAAATGGAAGTGCTGCCTTCGTTCTGTCTCTTGAGCATGTTTTTATTATGATGGCAATTTCTTCATATTGAACCTATAGCAATTTTATGGAAGAGAACAATAAACGAGGTAATGTAATTGAATACAAACAAAAAACAAAAAAAATCTTATAAAGAAAAATCTATTTTCCAGCACAGCACCTCAAAGCTGCTGTGACAAAAAGAAATCGTTTCCAGTTTTTGACCCTTTTCTCTAAACTGTTAACCCTCTAGTTTTCACAAAGCCCCCCAGAGGCTATATGAGAGCAGAACTCGCTGCTGGCTGAATAACTGCAGGTATTACTATCATTATCCTACACACTGCTCTGTCCTAAAAGCTTGGCTCAAGGTTAAAGACTTGAACAAAGTCCTGCTGCCTGCAGACATAAAGCAAAATGCATTTTTCTTTGTTTTACTCTCCAGTATGTGCATTTTATGAAAGCAGCCAAGAACTGTTCATTGTCATGACGTGTTTGTCACAAATCCAGTCTTTAACTGTGTGTTTTGTTGCAACCTTCTCCAGTTCTGAGCTCTTGGCCCTGGGGACTGTCCTCTCCTGGCAGAAGGCAGCGACCACTCATGAAAGCCCCTTTTCTGACATCCTGCTGAGAACATATGGAGTATTTTCTGTCTTTGTTTTCTTATTTCTGGCCTTTATAATACTTCTGCTCTGTTCCCATTGATTATGAAAAAAAAAAAATAAATAAATAAATAAAAAGACAAAAAAATAAAAAAAAAAAAAAATAT